AATTTATGAGCTGAGGTTTCAAAGTCTATTTTACTTAATTGCTGAAGGCAAGAGAACAGTAGGGGGTTTTGAACCTCAGTTCTTTGTGGTGCTCTCTGGCTCTGCTTCTGGAAAAAGCAATTGTTTTAAAGTCAGCGTTTTCAGACAGCTCTCTAAATCCCACCAGTGCTCTTGCTGTTCTGCCACAGAAGAGCAAACCAGTAAAAGAGCAAGCCGCGGTCTGCAGGAACAGGTGAGCAGGGCTCAGGTTTCAAAGCTGGCTGGGAGATAGCTACAGCAAGGCATCACAGTGTTTTTGTACCTTTATAAACAATCTGTGTTTAAACAAGGGGTAGACAATGCAGCCATCCCAGTCGCTCAAAGCTGCCCATTGTTGTGTGTTTAATTACACTCCTAAGTGAGAAAGAATCAAAACAGCCAGCAAGGCTGATCTGCATATTTTGGCTGGAGACACGCGTGTGAAGCCACCCCGCCCAGGCTCATGTTTCCACATTCTTCGGTGCAGGCTGCAGCTCGGGCCAAACTTCCTGCTGGAGGGTGGCGGCCGCAGAGCACACCCCAGTTGCCTGCATAAGGAAACAATCTTCCCCACCACACTCTATATTTAGAGCCATCTCTTGGCAATGCAAACATGTTTCTGGGCTTAGCGCCACTCAGACAAAAAGAAACACACACACACACACACACACACACACACACACACACACACACAGGAAAAACTGGTTTGGTTTGGTTCCAGGGCTAAGTCCAAACAACACAAGTTAAATGTGGCTTTCATCACTGATGCCTTTCAGTGTCAAACATCACCCTTTCTTCAAAAGCAGTAGGGACTGGATGCGGCTCTGAAGAATATTCTTCTTCCCTCTACTCTAAAGAGGGAAATGCATTTTACTCTCTAAGGGGGCATTTGCTAACGAAAGAGGCAAAGACACAGAGGCCAGAATGTTATGGAATTTTAGAAAATAATATTGTCCATGCTGGGGCCGTCAGCTTTCCCAGACAGAGTAACTCCAGAGAATAGCTGAGCCCCAGACTGGCTGCAGAGTTGATGGGAAAAGCTGAGAAGAACTGCAGGGCCTCTGCACCCCTCTCAGCTGCAGGCCCTTGCTCCCTAGCATGATGTGGGTCGGCCACAAAGCTGCTTCAGGAAGAGGCCCAGATGCACCCGGCCTAAAGCCCCCTGTCAGTCCCACACACTGCAGTGCTGCGCTGTATTATGAGAAAGAAGCGGATCTACTATCCGCCGTCCACCTAAAGTCTTCCCCGACTCTTTATCCCCAGTGTTTGTGCTTCCTGGGTTTCACCACCGCGCCACGGTGTTCACCAACACCGCCAATGCTGCCCGTGAAGGCGGGGCCAGCAGGGTGGTGGTTAGTGGTTTGGGCCCTTCCTTTATATCAGTGCAGTGTCACCTTTACTCGTGTAAGGAATACACAAAAGGTTTTGAAAAGGTGTATCTACAGCTCTGCTGTCATGTTTTTCATGCTAAAGCCGTACAAATTTAACTTGAGTAATTACTTCTTAAAAAACAAACAAACAAACAAACAAACAAACAAAAAACACAACTTCACAAAACTTGAAAATACTAAATGATATGTATAAATGTGAAATGACTACATCCGACATGAAATATGAACTCTGAGCGTTCCAGGACAGTTCTGTGCAATACTTCTTCCTGCATTGGATTCTGTAAATGAACCGATACAAGAGAAACTGACAGAAATGTCTTTAGTGCTCAAGTCCTGAAAGTGCTCACCGGTCTCCTTTGTGGATACTCTAGTGTGGATAACCATTCCTGCAAGATCCATGCACAGAGGCCCTTGGCCCTTGGGGTGGTACTGATGGGAGGTGCTGTGGACCCAGGGCACTATGGTGACCACTAGACCTCTTCAGAGACGCGCCCTTGACAGGAATTAGGAGATGCTAGCCCCATCCTTCTTGGCTTTTCCCTTTTTGTTTCCTGGCTATTCTGCTCTTCCCTACCCTCCATCAACACGTGCTACATACCATAGGCCAAAGCAATGAGCCAGCTAACCCTGCACTGAGCCTTCCACACCATAAACGAAAACAGAACCCTTTCTTCTTTATAGAGTAACTCGGGTTATTTTGTTAGAGCAACAGAACTGGCCCACAGGTCTAGGGAAGGAGAGTCGAGCCGGCTCTGCTAACATCAGTTATGAGCAGATGGTGTGCACGGAGCAGTGAGGTGTGTTAGCTCTCTAATGCTGGTGATCAATTATCTGCCCTCATTTTCCCGAGTTCTCGCTGGACACAAAGCAAACGGCAGGAACACATCTCTGCTGTTCAAGCACTGAAGCTTGGGGGAGGCTTGTCACTTTAGAAAACCCAGTATAATCTGCTGATACTGAATATTAGTTTAAAAGGAACCAAAATCGATTAGTAGTAATTAGCAAAATGTGATTACATCCAACAGAGGTTTGGATGCCAAGAAGAGATGTAATGGATAGAGGCACTGCAGCAGCTTTGCCCATCCACTGCAGTCTGAGAGGTCCATCCCCTTGACCTTCCCAGTTCCTCTCAGGACCTCTCCTGAAACAGAGATCAAACAAAACACTTCAGACAAACCCGGAACAGAACTGGTCCAGCTAAGGAGGACAGACAGACAAGACTGCTGAGGAACAGCGGCCCCCAACTTCTCTAAGCTGTGGTTCTCAACACAGAGTGTTCACACAGCCCAACCCTTAAGGTGGAATGCAGACATCCACCGGCTTCTCTGCCTCCCTCAGTGATGCGGGGGCAGGTCTGAGAACTACGCCAGCACAGGATGGGTTGACTATTTTTCAAAATGCAGTAAAATATTTTAGGCAAAAAAAAAAAGACATGCACACATAATAGGACCCTTAGACAGCAGGGCCATGTAGCAAAATGTAGCTGGATAGCCACAACATCCTGGGAGCCTTCAAGAATACCTCGGCAGTATCGGGGACCAGGAAAGAGACACTCACGGCGAGTGCACATCTCACTCCTAAGAGCGGCCCAAGTCCCTCTGCACCTTGTAGGCGAACACAGGAGCTTCTGCTCAGTGGTGCTATCACCACTCATGGTGTCCTCCTAGCCTCACACCAGTCCCACGGGAGCCACTGCGCTTATTTTACAAGCTAGGTAATTCAGACCTCGGGTGTAGGGACACATGTTTATGTGTGTGAAAAGAGCGGAAAACAAGGAGGTTCCACCCTGCCCCCAGATGTGAGGCAGAACTGAGGAACACCTAGCACAGACCAGCGCTCCTGTCTCTTCTTGGGTCACGATGCTCCGTCTGGAAATCAGTTTACCCACCTAGAAGAACCTGCCTCGTTCACAATGGACCACAGGGCTTAATTCTGACAATTGCAAAACAGGGAATTTTTGCTTAGATGTTTCCAGAGTCTGGCAGTGTTGCACATCTCCATTAAAGGTTAAACAATATTCACCTAACCTCCTTCATCCAATGAGGAGCCGGGAACGTCTCAAGCACTAGTGTCTACAGACACAGGGGGCGGTGGGACGGTGTTTTCAAGTCTTTCAGGTCAACAAGGAGACACACAGCAGACGGCTGGCCTTCCTTACAGCTTGGGTGCACAGGGCTCCGCAGCCTCATTAGCAGCTATCCTCCTGGACAGATTTTGGCTTACCACAGTGCTCTATCAGAGCCGAGCTTCCCCAGCAACTGCACTGGCATCGTGTTGCTTCAAATATGCCTTCACTGCCCTCTGAAGTCTTGCCAGCCTCGTGAATAAAGGCCTTCCTTCAGCTCACTGCAGAGCAATTGCTCAGCCAGTCACCAAATTATCGGTTATCACCGGCGCAGGCAGGCTGAACGGAGCTGCAGAAAGGGCGCCTCTCAACCTTCCCAACTGCTAAGCATAATTTGGGCCTTTATTCTACCTTCACTTAAAAGATGAGGAGTGGGAAGCCCACTTCCCACCGAAGGGCCTTTGCCAAAGTGTCACACTCATTAAGCATTTCAGCTGGAACTGCAGGTCATTACGTATCATCTGGCTTGATACAGTCATCTTGCTGATAACCCAGTCCTTCACAAAAGCTGACAATAGCCTTATAGATCCATTCCGCCGAATTCAGTTTCAAATATCAGAAAAGAAAGCAAAACATAATGGCTCGTTTTAGGGACTTGCAAGATGACAAGCGTAACTGCCAACAATAAAATGAGAACTGTCAGGGCCTGCTTGCTGGCTTCTTGCAGTGCGAGAGGTACTGCGTGCAGAGGGCTCTGGGAATGCCATCTCACTCAGACTTTATATAAAACTCATTAAGGCAGGCTGCCATCAGAGTTCATCCATTCCGAAGCACAGTGTTCCGTTCTTTGACCTGTTTAAGACTGGGGCACATCATCTAACCAATCAACATCCTGCATGCTTATCAGGTAGCTTTCTCTGTGCGTCATACGGAATCCAACGCCGTCTTAAATCTGATGGTGCCTTTGCCTCATCTTATAGAAGACACAAGTCTGGAGAATGTGACTTAGGCTCCCAGCCCCCAGCAAGTATGTGACTCCACTCCTCTGACTCTGAACGCCAGGCTGGAAGATGGTCCACTACACTGTTTCTCAGGACAAGAGAAAGCTGTGTTTTCAGTACTTGACATCCGTTATCAGTGAGTCACCATACCGGGAATGCTGGGGCGAGCAAAGTAACGGAGAAGGCTTCTAAACCAGCTCATTACTCACGAGGCCTTGAGTAGCCCGATTAAGTAAAATGTTTGGCGTTGCTGACTTTCTTCAGCTTTTACTGGTACATATTAGCTGCATAGAGTAAATGCCACATAATTTACTTTGCTCATACCTCCTCCCAAAACACCCATCCCACCATTATTTTCATCTCCTGACTTCTTCCTCCTTCATCCCCAATACTTCCTCTTCACTTGTCTGTTTTCTCCTTTTTTTTTTTTTTTCAAAATTCTGCATTCTTATAAAACTTGATAAGGAATAGTATTTCAAACTGTACAGTCATCAGAAGGACACCATTATCAAAAATGCACACACGTCACTTGACATCTCCAGCACCTTCGGTTTCCTGTGCCTGGTCTGTTTCGGCATCTCCATTTTTCACAGGATTATTCGCATCCTTACCAGCATCAGCTTTCCCTTTCTTCCCCTTGGGTACCTTCTCTCCCTTCTTAGCAGCAGCCTTTTTAGGCTTGGGCTCTGGCTTTGGAGGAGCAGGTTTACCAGATAACCTTGTGGATCTTCTCTGTGGCTTGCCCTTCTCCTTGGCTTTATCTCCTTCAGCATCCCTTTCGGCCTTTCTTTTGGCCATGGCAACAGTGGGGGATGGTGGGGGACGTTGGTGCTGGATACGGGGGGTGGGGGTGGGGGAGGATACAGTGACTCATGGGTTTGGTCTGTCCAGGGGCTACACTCACGCTTCTTCACACTGCTCTGTCTGTTTTCTCCTTTAAGCCTCGGTTTTTACATGAGAGGAAATACAGCCTTTGTCTTTCTGAACTTAGCATATTTTGCTTAACATGGTTTTCACTCCAGACTCTGCTCCTGCAAATGTCCTGATTGTGTTCTCTCTTATGGCTCAATAACACTCCGGTAGGCACCTACACTCGTTTGCTTTGTTGACTCCACTATTGGTGGACTCTACAAGTTGCCTACTGCGGATGTAAGGAAGCTGGTGCAAGTATCTCCCTTGGACGGTGACCTGGAGTTCTTAGGTACATGCTGAGTGATTATATTCAGCCTTGCCGACTTTTGATGGGCCATGAAATTCCACTGAGCCCCTACTCCAAGGGTGGCTGGTTTTCCTTCCCCTTAGCAAAATATTCCTTTACAACCGGGCAGAAACTACTTCAGTCAAGAATTTGGTACGGTGGACAGTCTTTAAACTCTCCCTAATGATCCTCATCTCCCATTACTCTCATGGGGGAACTCATGACTTGCTTGTGACCCACAGGATATGGTAAAGTGAAGGGATATCAGTTTTGTGATTAGTCCAAGTAAAACTGGCTACCTTCCTGTTAAAATGCTGGCTTCCTAAAGCACATGAGCATTCCGGTTGATCTGAATGTCATGGACAATCAATCCTCAATTCCTGGCTACCCGATTGTCTGTGATGTTCAGATCAACCACCCAAGGAGAATCACATAAACAAGCTTGGAGGAGGGTCTCTCCCCAGGTGGGCTGCCAGACAGAGGAGGTAGTACCCGAGTGAGTGGGTGACCCAGACAGTTTGTGCTCAGCTTCCTGACCCACGGGAACTGAGACACTAGACCTGGGCTAAGTGGCTGTGACAATCTGCTGACGGATGGCAGTTACACACCTGTGCGGGACAGGCACTTGGTGCTTACAAGCGTGAGCGCTGGAGGTTAGAGTTCCAGAACTCAGGGAAACGTTGGGTTGTGCACGGTGAACTCAAGCCTCAGAAGGCAGATGGGGGATCCCAAGAGAAACCTGGGAGGGAGACTAGCAATATTTCAAGCTCTCGTTTTTATTCAGAGATCCCGACTAACTGAACCTCGTAGAAGACTCTCCATATCAACACATAGTCAGACATGCACAGTCACACACTCACAGAGAGAGAGAGAGAAGGGGAAAATACCCCAAACTCACAGTTATATACCTGGCTTTAAATTATGAGTCCTCAAATTCATTACGACCTACTGTGATAGCTCTAAGATGTGGGGCCTGAGGCAGGCAGTAAATGAGACAGGGCTCTTATGAACAGGATTCAGACCCCTGTGGTCCCATGAGATTGAGGCAGGGAGATCACAATTTTTACCCTTTTGCTGTTCTTTGATAGGAGAGATGAGATGGCAAACTGAGAGCACATAATAGTCTTCAGGAAGGGAGTGGGGTCAGCACCCTGACCTTGGACTCCCCAGTTTCCAAAACATTGGGGAAGGTTCTGATAAGGTGTCCACGGCCAGGGTTTGTTTGTTGGTTTGTTTGTTTTTTTATAGCAACACAAACAGACTGAGATCATTAAAAGATAATGTTTTTGTATGTCACAGAACTTTATAAGACTCTGGTATGGTTGATGCTAAAAATTCTAATTGTGAATTCAACCTCTTGGGTATAATAATAAAGAAATGGTAGTTATACTTTATTTAGTGTCTACTGGAGGTCAGATAAATTCTGATATATAATAGTGAAATTATGGTCACATTTACTACTAACAATTCATTTGTATAATTACTATTTTCACATGAAATGTTAAATGACAGTTTCATTTAGTGATTTAAACAAAAAGTTTAGTGGGCTTTCTGATTTCATACTACTTACTCCTTTTCTCTTGAGAACTCGACCTCCTTCATCTACAGTATGCTACTTCCTAAGGTGAGTCATATTAATCTCCCTAGGTCTTTCTTATCGGATTTAAATCCCTGTTTCAGGACTGACCCAAGGTTGGCCACCAAGTCAGGCTGTACACGCCTTCTCCATGACTTTGCTGTAAGACTGGCAGGAGAGAACAATGGACATGTTTGGGGTTCTAAAGCTGAGTCAGACACAGTGTCTCCATGGCTAAATCCCTGCTGTGTACAAGTGACCATTCCTCCTTGTAAGTAAACCTGTGATACTGAGAAAGAAGCAACAGACAGAAAGGAGGAGGGCAGTTCCTTCCCCATCAAGGCTGACCCCACACCCCTGATGGCATCACTGTGGGACCATAGGTGTCTTGCTGTGACTTTCTTTTGGAATTGAAGGGAGATAATAATGTTGACCTACATCGCTGATACCTTTGACTACATACATGGGCCCCTTAGAGTTGTTTAAAAGTTATTTTAAAATGATCACTTAGTTACTAAATTATACCACCCCTGGCTGACTGCTGAAAGTAGTAGTGAAAAGGGCACTTGGGTTTTGGGACCTGAATGTCATTTGTGAGGTAGCTGTACCACAAACAGAGAAGTCCCTTACCAAGATGAAGGTCTATACCAGAGTTCCCTGAAACCTGGCCTTTCTTATCCATTCCAGTGAGCAACGTCATATACCAGTATTCTGAGGTGCTAGTCCATCCCAGAGGCTAGAGAATTTGACCTTTGTTTTAAGATTTCTCACAAACCTGTCATTTCTCAAAGACCTGTAATTAACTTAGTTAACTAATAATTTCTTAGTAAGTAAGCTTTGTTAATTTGGTTTCACTCATAGAAATGTCTGCCCATTGTCCACTCTCAAAATAACTACACTAAAACATGTGGCAATCATGTTAGATTTCAGTTAAGGGGACTTATTGTTCAACTTAAGTTCTAGACTATATAGTATGTCATACACATAAAACTGATTAAACAATAAAATCAACAAAGCTGCTTCATTTTCCTATTCATGTGTAACTTTTAATCATGAAAGTGATAATGAATATCGAAGGTATGGAAACACAGAAAGAAGCAGAAAGAAAACAATCATCTTTTATGTCTGAAATGGGAATAAGTGATGACCTTGAATTAGTAATTTCTCATCTACTTTTTGTAAATTTGTTAGTATTACTAAGCAGCTGAAGTCTAATGCCCCACAGAAAACAATCCTAAGCAGGTTAACTAATACCCCAGATGCCTAGTCTGCACTCTGCCCTTTGCCTATTCTCAAAATTACTATCTCAAGACACTCTGGAGCCAGGCGCATCAAAGCCCTGTAAGCAGGGCCCCTTGACTCAGTACAAAATCTAAGAATATCTGGGTCTGCTAGTCATGGAGAGCTTTAGAAAAAACTAGACTCAATCCCCTGAGGTTTTCTTACACAGGTTAGCTCACCTGAAATCACTATAGCAACAAAACTGTACAGAAATCCTTGGAATAAATCAACCCTGCCAAAGCAAGTGGAGACTGTGGCCCAAGGGCACATGTTACAACAGCAGCTTTGAGGTTGATTTTGTAGCAACTGCAGGTACAGTGAGGGAGAAATGCTTTCTGTGTCCTCAGGACAGAAGCAAAATGTCTACACTGAGAAACAAGACCACAGTATGAAATCACCTGAAACTGTGGCTTTTGTGACTATCTCCCAAAAGCAATCACCCTCAAGAGGAGACAGAAGGACTGATCAAGAAAAATTAACCAGCTTCTACCCAGAGTCAGACAGCAGTAAACTACTGTTATCTATGTCTTTCTACCAGCAATGAACCATACTTTCCTTTCTAGGAAAGCTATGAGTTTATTTTAAACCAACTACTGATTCTCACCGGATCTCTGCACTGATATAAATGGAAAGGGACTGGGCAGTAACCCAAGGCCCACATTTTCATTACAGTTTGAAGTGGACTACACAAGTCTGGCATCAGAAGATACAGACACTTAGCTAATGGCTCTACTTAAATCAGTTCTGTCCTCAGCTGGATGGGGTCAGCTCATGCTGGCTGATCACAGGCAATTCTTACCACCTCATCCCAACTGGGTATTAGACTAATCTGCTGAGAAAACAAGTATACAAAGGGAGGCTTCAGTTTTCTTCTGAGCAGCGAGCTGATAAACATCTATCAGCACACACTCTCTCATCCATTCACCCCACCTCCTAACCAGTCTTTATTGAAATCTAGCATCTGCTAGCTGGACCCTATGATGAGCCCTACAACTGCATGAATGACATACAGTCCGTGTTAAAAATGCTCAGTTCTCTCTAAAATGGCTGCGAACCAAGCAGCCATTTCCACCTTGAACCTGCTCCCTTCCCAGCAGAATGGAATGCCTGTGATGAAATCAGAACCTTAGGAGATTCCCGCAAGTTCTGTAAAGACGGTGAAGGGGACTGTTTGAGTGAAATGCAGAGTCAGTCTCTACAGGCTAAGCACACACTCGGCTTCTATGCTAGAGCCTCACCTCCCTGTCCTGCCCCAGCAGCACACACTCAGCTTCTATGCTAGCGCCCACCCCGCCCTGGACAGAAGCAGAGTAGCTAGCACACAAGCCGAGTATCTGAACATAGGAAGAACTGAGACATGGTTGATATGCATAACCCCGCAAAAGTCCACTTACTCAACAGTTTGTTGTGAAATTGCCTTCAGCCTGTAGTGATCTCAAGCAGGCACTACCATCACTGGATTTTTTTTTTTTTTTTTAATGTGGGCTCTAGGAATTGAACTCAGGTCCCTATGGCTGCAGGGTAAGCTCTTTACTGAGTTATTCCCCTAGTTCCCTTCGCACTGGGTTTTTGGGTGGAAACTGATTAATCATCAGAGACTTTTCCTTTCTAAGGCTAAGTTACCCCTACCAGCACTTCAGAGGTTATAAAGAAGAGTTTTCTACAGTTTCCAAGTGTTGGAACAGTTTTCTATTTTTTATAATTCACTTCTAACTAATTTCATTATGGTATGACTTTAGTCTT